TTATAAATGTCTGATCAATGATAAATGTGCCAAAATCTGGATTCATGAATGCTTAAAGTTACCCTTGACAACCAGGAGTACTGCCTAGAGGATTCTGAAGTACTTCAGGAATTGTAACCAAGGAGTTGGAAATTTCTTTCTCCCCTAAAATCACTTCTGGTATGGAAATAAATAACTAAATGCATTAAACTGCATTCATTCTTCTTCAGGGAATGGATGAAGGAACTTAGAGTGACCATGAGATGGTGGAGAGATCACAGAGTAAATCCATGCATAAGTTACAACTACAGCTCGAAGTTCTGTGGTTGGGGTTGGTTTTCACCTGGAGCCTGGTGAGGTGATGGGCCCCATGAAGCTGCTCAGGCACTGCTGGCACGTTTTATTCACTGTGTAAAGTTTCATCCTTCCCCAGGCTTTGGAAAGGGCAACATTTCCATACTGAAGTGCTACAGACGTACACAAAATGCATCTATTTGCACTTCCAGCATGAGGCTCGAGTTCACACTTGTGTTTGTAGTTTGTATATAGTTTGTGCACTCCTGGTGTCACTAACACTTGGAATGGTTTCCCTTATCAGTCTGGTGTTCCATCCTAATAATGCCCTTAAAAGGATTCAGCTCTCATTATTATGACAGTTGTGAATGGACATTCCTCAGGAACAGTTCAAAGTTCTTCATTCTCATGTAGTTTCTGCTTTTTTCTATCTGTAACTGGTCCATTCTGGAAATCATACATTTCTGTCTTTCTTTTGTAGTTCTATAGAAAAAGTAACATAAGCGTATATAGATCCAATAAGATCCAGTACTGCTGCTTGTGTGTAAACCTTTACACTGAAAAATAACAGAGGAGGAGCAACTAATCTGGTACAGCTAGACAGTCTGAGAACAGTAATTTATTTTCTGATTTCTAGGAAAGAGCTGTAGACTTCAAAAAGTGACACAACAAAGCACCAGTAGCATTAATTAAATTGTAATTTGAATTAGAACTACTGACTGTACAAAACTGGTATAAAATCAAAGGCCAGAACAGTCTGTGCAGCTGTGAGCTGTCAGCCCTCCTTATTGCCATGGTACACTCAAACCGAGGTACAGCCCCTCCATTGTACAAGCCATCTGCACTCCTGCTCAGTGGAAATTGCATATTTCTGAAATTCTCAAGATTCTGGAATGGTCAAGTGTCCATGTGTGTTGGCTTTTATCTTAAAATCCTCTATTTCTGGAAAATGAATTGGTCAATGAATTCGTTCTGGTCCGCTTCGACTTTGCAGAGAGTCTCGTACTCGATCCGGTACCTGTGGGACAAAACAGAGGCTCCAGGACCCCGCGTGAGCTGGGTCAGGGCAGCCTTGGGAGGTGAGAGGGGAGCTGGCTACCAGTGTGAGGAGCTGGCTACCAGTGTGAGGAGCTGGCTACCAGTGTGAGGAGCTGGCTACCAGTGTGAGTCCCCTGTATGCAGCAGGTGCCCGAGTCACACAGAGCAGCTCTTTACCAGCCAGGCACGAGGCTGTTGCAGGGCTCTGAGTTCTGCACTGCCCCTGCTGCCTCTGTTCAGCCCCAAAGTCCTCAGAAATGAACCTCTTTAGTTCACTGCAGGCCTGTGGCATTGTTCCCATGTGCCCTGGCCAGGACACACTGTGGATGCAGGTGGGGCTGTCTGAACCAGCCAAGGGTCCTACGACACAGGCAGTGAGCCCACCCTGAGCCTTCCTAGCCTGCACAGCACCCCGGAGCACTGAACACACAACTCACCTCTCCAGCTGCATCTTCTTCTCAGCTATCAAAGCCTGCAGCTGCTGCTCCTGAGCCTCCCTCTGCTTTGCGATCGACTTCAGCAGGTTCCGTGCACCGATGGCCTGGCAGGACAGGGCAGGCACGTGTGGAGGGTTTTTGGTTAACTCCTTTAGCCCCTTTCCCTCCCAGCAGGCTGACTGTGAGGCATTCCAGCTGTGCCAGCAATAAGAGAGGGCGACGCTGTGCTCCTGAGGGGTTGGTGGGACTGGGGCTGAGCACGCAGCCTCTGGGCTTCCCCCAAACTCCAGGAACAAATCGGTGACACACAAACTGGGCACTGGTCCTACAGCCAGGCTCAGGCTACCAGAGGCCTCTCCTGCCTCTGGAGGACAAGTTCTACCAAGACGGAGTGATTAAAAAGCACATATTGTATTTCTGTGCAGAAATATAGACAAGCAGGGACAGCAGGACTGGTACGTGTGTGAGTAATGTGATGCTGTCATGAGTGTAATGAATTCATTATTATTGATTAATATTATCATAAGTATCAATTTAAAAGGCCTGGTTAATCCCATGGGAATGCCAGCAGGATGCTGACAGAGAACCCTTGCTTCTGCTGTAAAGGGAGGGAGGGATTAGAGAGGCCCCACACAGGACAGCGCACAGAGAGGCGAGGAATTTACTGCACCCTACCTTCATCTTCTCGCTTTCTGCAGCTTTGGCCAGTTGGTCAACGAGTTCAACCAAGCTGCCCACTATTTTCTGAAATTCTGCTGTTTCTGTAAAGAAAAATATCGTCAAGTGATACCCTGAACTTCCCTAAATAGATCTGATGCTCTTGCTTTGCCGTATAGTTTTTAGGTATCGTATAGTTTTCCGGTGTACGTTTATAATTTACAGTAAACAGGCAGGTTTTACGATTCGGGCGGCATCAGAAAAAGGGGCGAGAGAAGGCCAGAGGTGCCCGGTGCCCGGCCCGGCCGCGGCACTCACTGTCCACGAAGGCCCGGCACTCCTCGCGGAGCTGCGCCGTCTGCGCCGCCACCTCGGGCTCCAGCACCCGCAGCTTGTTCAGCTCGTCGAAGTGCAGCCCCGCCGCGCCCAGCGCCGCCTGCGCCATCCCCGGGGCAGCGGCCGGGCCGGGCCGGGCCAACCGAGCCGGGCCGGGTGAACCGAGCCGAGCCGAGCCGGGTGAACCGAGCCGAGCCGGGCCGGGCCGGGCCGGGCCAACCGAGCCGGGTGAACCGAGCCGAGCCGGGCCGAGCCGAGCCGAGCCGGGTGAACCGAACCGAGCCGAGCCGGGCCGGGCGAGCCGGGTGAACCGAACCGAGCCGGGCCGAGCCGAGCGGGGCCTCCGCCGGCGCTGCCGGGCTCGGCTGCTCCGCCCCGCCTCCGCCGCGCTGCGCCCGCCGGGAGCCCGGGAACTCTTCCGGGCCGGGCCGGGGGAGCCGCGGTGAGTGCGGGGCCGGGCGGGGAGCGCGGCCGGGCCGCCTCCGCTCGCCTCCCCGGGCCGGGGGCGGACGGAGCCTGGCCCGGGCCGCGCCGCCGTGCCCGGGGGGCTCGGGCGGAGCGGGCCCGGGGCAGGTTCGGGGCACGGCCCGCGGGCCGCTGGCTGGGCCCTGCCCGGGGTGAGCGGCGGGGCGGGCTCCCGGTCTGCCCGGTAGCCCCGGTCTGCCCGGTACCCCCCGTCTCCCCCGGTACCCCCGGTCTCCCCCGGTACCCCCGAGCCGTCCGGGGCGCTCCTTTTCCCGGCCGTGCCGAGCCGGGCGGGTCCCGTCGCGGGGCCGTTGTTCCGCAGCCCGTCCCGCCTCCCACGCGGGGCAGGAGGGACGGGACGGGATGTGGGGAGCTTTCGGTCGTGTCTAAAGGGGTAATTAAGGGGCTGTTTACAGCAGAGGCCCCGCAGCTCCCCAGTGACCATTTACAGGAGTTGTGCTGGCTCCTGCCTGCGCTGGCTGGGCAGGGGGTTTAGCTTCTTTGCTGGTGTTTAGCTTCGTTCTTCGGTCAGAGCAGTGACAAACTGCCTGGAGGGACAGAACTGACTGCGAACTCTTCTGAGGAGCTCTGTTGGACAGGTTGGATTCCTGTCTCCTCAAAGCCTCGGTCTGGCTGCTGTTGCAAACATGCCACTGGTCTAAAAAGGGGGTTTTGAGGGTTTAAAGCAAGGCAGGACAGCAGTGACAAACAGTGGTGTATGTGATGGGGAGCCTTGTTTATTTTCTTTTCAAATTAGAACTACGTTCACTGTTTGGGGCTCCAGGATGGATGCAGGAGAGTTTTGAATGGAAGGAGTTACCAGAAAATAGAACCTTGTGATTCATCTTTTCAGTGTTGAGGCATTTGAAGAGACATTTGTGTCTCCAATTTAAAGTCCAACCAATATCAACAAACCCCGCTCAGGGGGATTCACACACACCCCAGCTGAAGGAGGTGCAGGAAGCTCTTGCGGGGCATTTCAGCTGGGCTCAAAGAGAGTTGGGTTCTTTTGGGAAGCCGAGGGGGACCTGAATTCCAGCACCATTTGAGCTGGGCCCTTGGTACTGTGTGGTGTTTGCAGTGCTGGCTGGAGATACAATTACAGGAAGTCAGGAGTTTCGCGTGCCTCAGAAGTGTGACACATCATTGGCTGCATCAATTGTCTGAAAAATGGCTAAATCGAGTTTTGCCAGGATGTGTGCTCTTGTGTCCTTAGGAAGTGTCTCTTCTGCAGAGTGACATCCCTGTCTGCGTCTGGAGTGGCCATGGGCTGCCCTGCTGGCTGTGCTGAGCCCTGATCCCTCACCGTGCCGGGCCCTGATCCCTTGCCGTGCTGATCCCTCGCCGTGCTGGGCCCTCGCCGTGCTGATCCCTCGCCGTGCTGGGCCCTCGCCGTGCCGATCCCTCGCCGTGCTGGGCCCTCGCCGTGCTGATCCCTCGCTGTGCTGTGCCCTCGCCGTGCTGATCCCTCGCCGTGCTGAACCCTCGCCGTGCTGTGCCCTCGCCGTGCCGATCCCTCGCCGTGCTGATCCCTCGCCGTGCTGTGCCCTCGCCGTGCTGATCCCTCGCCGTGCTGTGCCCTCGCCGTGCTGTGCCCTCGCCGTGCCGATCCCTCGCCGTGCCGATCCCTCGCCGTGCTGATCCCTCGCCGTGCCGAGCCCTCGCCGTGCCGATCCCTCGCCGTGCCGATCCCTCGCCGTGCTGATCCCTCGCCGTGCTGATCCCTCGCCGTGCCGATCCCTCGCCGTGCCGA